GTGTGCAAAACACTTTACACTACGTGTCCGGTCTATGTGTTCTCTGGTTAGTGGCAGCAGTGAGCAAACAGCTGTTGTTCTCGCGTTTACTTCACTGGCAATATCTTGTATATGTGCACTGACCAGACGACACACACACATAGATGAGACATGTAGAACAAATTTTTCTATAGCTCGAAACTGTTAAGTGGTCGTATTTGCTCGGCTCGGTCGCTGGAGGTTGGAGCAGTGAAAATACTGCACGACAAAAACAGTGCGCAGTAAGCGCTCAATCGAAGTGGTCCCAAATCCGTATGTGGAACAGCTATGTGCTCTCTCGCTCGCTCTCTATGGTCGCTGAAATCATCACTCTCAGCAACGCACAAAAATTGAAATTTTTCTCTTTCCTTTTAACTTAACAGTTTCGAGCTGTAGAAAAATTTGTTCTACATGTATCATTTATGTGTTGTCTGGTCAGTGATATGTGGTATAATAACAACAATAACAGCATACCATCGTATAACGGCGGCGTTTCGTTGTAATTGGCAATGGCGCGGTATGGTGTCTTGGTTGATAGGTGGCGTTCGATTTCATGGCGTTCCAAATAATTGCAGGCAGCCTCATCAGCTGTTGTCAGTTGCGGCAGTACAAACAGAAGCGCTGGTATTAGCCAATAATGTAAATTAAGCATTTTCTTCCCGTTGCGTTGGATGGGACAGTAAAATTTGTCAGTTCAGTGTGAGAGTTAAAATTTAGGTATGAACTAATTACAAAACGTAAAACATTTATGTAAAATTTTGTAAAAAAAAGAAAACTTAAAATAAATGACTTCACACGCACAAAAGTTGAACGTGTTTGCCAAACGGCCCAAAAACAAATGAATATGTTATTAACAGACAAGCTGCAATTGATACTATGACATGCTGATACAGCTAACAGACAGTCACACTCAGAGGCACACACACACATACGCATACGCACGCACACAAGCGCGCAGAGGCACATACTTGCGCACGCTCGCTTAGTCAGTTGACCGTTCTGTTAGCAGTCTGGCAGCACTTTGCGAAATATATTCGATTAGTCGATATAATGCGAGCGAATGGAAAAACCGCGTCACAACAATTGCGATGTTCGAATTGCGTTTACCTATACCTATACTATATAATCAAATGAATTAAATTCAAAGAAATCTCAACACAATGGGTTAGTACACACCTAATTTGGCCAATTTAAGCTTAATTGAACTGAACTCAACTTTTGAATCGAACAGTACCTGTTGCTAAGAAGCCAACACTTCCCACCAAAAGAACACTGCGGTCCACGACTCGCGCACAAATCAAACCGAAACTGGAAAGTAAAAATGCATTCGACGAGCGGATCAATGCAACTGCCGAGCAGAGCGAACAGCCAAGCACTTCGATGGTATCGACGCGATCGACAAAAGCCAAATTGACTAAGAAAAGAAAGGAAGTGGCCAAGAGGCCGGACAGCAAACAAGTGAAACGCAGTCAAACAAAGCAGCTGCTAATTAATAACAATAACAATAGCAATGGCAATAACAATAACTATAATACTAAGAATAACAACAGCAATAACAATAACAATAACAAGAGCCTGCTTATGGAACCGCTGCCAATGAAGCGATACAAACTGCTAAAGGCTTTTTGCATGCAAGTGGCCAAGTCGAACGGAGAGCCACAGCAGCCGGCAGCGGACACGGGCTACACGCAACAGCAGCTGCAGCAGTTCCTGTCGAACTCGACGCTCGGCAAGATTCTGCCGGCGTCCCTGATCTTTGCCAGCCCGAGCTGTGCTCAGGTGCGTCATGCGATTATAAAGTATAATTCCAAGCTAATGCTAGCATCATTTCAGCATTTGAGGCAATTGGTTAGGCTGATCGACGCATTGGATGTGGTCCAGCTGGAGGAGCTATTGGATCTATATCACCTGGCCATTGCGATGCAGAACTACGAGCAGCTGTACACCACCCATAGCCAGGGCCAGCGCTGCGAGCTGCTGCACGCCGTCAGCTCTTTGGCCGCGCAACTGCAGCCGGAATACATTGAATATATGGCCATTTGTCTATGCGACCGTCTGGTCATTGGCGCCGGCAAGGAGCGCATGCAACGTGTCCTCGACATGCACGGAGCGCTGGTGCAGCTAATTGCCGACAGCGATGTTAGTCGCCGCATTGCCCTGACCATCCTGCTGGCCACGATTGCCAAAATCTCGCGACTCGAGCTGTCCACACGAAACACACGAGATATTGTAATATACGTCTATATGCCTACAAATCTGTATGCCATTCTAATTGCGTTCGATTTCAGTTAGCACTCGCCTTTGACATGGTCAAGCGCGTCGACTGGATGCGCTTGGTGGTCGATGGCTGCCAGCCGGATATATTTGCGCTGCTCCGCAGCTTCGCATTGATCATCAATACGCACCAGAATGGTTTCGCACATTCGCTCCAGGATGTCGGCACCGAGATTCGCAACTTTTTCATGCAGCTGTTGCGCATTTTGCACATTTCCAGTAAACATAACAACTTAATCATGATGGTAGGTCCACAGAGAGAGAGAGTTTTTCTCTCTTATAGTTAAACATTCATTCGTATACCATATATGGAATTCGATATCCTGCTCTTGCTACGTAGTATTAATAATTTGTATATGACACAATTAGAATATGTCTATCTATGCCTACTCTATGCAACTACTAAATCATATATGTATACCGTTACTTAACTATTTTTCAGATGGAGCGTTTTATTGTATTTTGTATTTTACGTGGAGCGACAGCAAGGTAAGTTGACACAACGGTATATATACATATTCAGAAATGAAAGGAGATGAAAGTGTCATAAGCGAAATCTATTAGTAACGAGTTTTAATCGTTACACGCTAATCGATCACTCGTTACACGACAAGCTTCCCTCGTCCTTCGTCACTTAATCTTTCATCAGAATTCGTTATGCGATACCATACCATCATACACTACTTGTATTCTGTTCTCGTTTTCCTGTCTCTTGCAGCTGTCGTTCCACGCATGTGTTTGACACCGGATCTCAATCGAGCAGCTAACTGAACAACCAAAACATTCTATTTATTAAGAAATTACAGTTATAACTAACTAACTAATTAAGTATTTTATTTGCATTTGTTGTTGCATTTGTTACTAAGGCCAATTTAGTTTCCTAGTTAAGTTCATGATGTTCAACAAGTGTGCGAAAGCTTTTCATTATTTATTTATTTCTGTTGCATGTGGGGTTAGGGCCGAAAAGCTTCAGACCTCCCATAAATTGGTGGGGGGGGGGGGGTCAGGCCTAGGCGGGTTTTCGGCATTTTTGGTTTGGTTTGGCGGCGACAGAAATTTTGTAGTTTTTAGTCGCGTTTCGGCCAAGCAAAGTGACGGATAAACAATTTGATTTTAAATAAATAAATAAATTTGAGAAATAAAATAATTGTATAAATAGAAAGTTGCTGTGCAAAAGATATTGTTGAATCAATTGTGCTCGACTCTACGGTTATCCTAAAATTTTATTTATTTATTTATTGTTTTTTTTTTTTGGCCTAGCATATGGCGCCGGAAAATGCGCCGCCGCGCGTGCTGTTGGTTTATAGCGCCAAAAACTAATCAAAGGTAATGCTTAGCTAACGGTTTCAGCACACCCACCGCTTCCACCGTCCAACAGCTAGATATAATCCTTCTCGTACACACACACACACACACAATTTGTTTGATATTCGCACGCAAAGGCAAAGCAATTTCTTGAGTCTTTAGTGCGTAGTGGCACGCCACCTGTTGGCTATCGGCGGCGAATGTGCGTATGCGGCGGGCAGCTTAAATTGCGCTGCGCTGAGCGAATCACTGATCGATAAATGACAGTTGTTTATGCATGGCATTAACGTTATTAGGCGTAGCCGCCCTTATCGCCGCCGTCGCTGTCTTTTGATAACGGCGAAAATATCTTAAGTCATTGGCTTAAAAGCCCGGTTTTGGGGCGGAGCGTGCAACCACGTGTCGTGACCAGCGTGACACGAGCTGTCGTCATTAATTTGAACGCCTTAAGCTATGCCATCAAGCGTCACCAGGCGTTGCCAGATATGAATTTACAATTTGAATTTTCAAATAGTTATCGTTGTTATCCAAAACAAACTCAAAACTATGACGGTCTGCCAGCACTAGCAAAAAGATTCAATATATCAAAACAAAACAAAACAAACAAAAATCAATTATAAAAGATAATCGTGTTAAGCTCATTTATGTAAACAATTTCCAAAGCTTTATTTTTTAATTAACTTTCGGGCATATCAAAAAAGCATATCAGGAAAATGTTTAAGAACCGTCAATTCAAAGGTCCGTAGCATTTCAAGTATTTACTAATACGAGTTCTTGAGTATGATTAATTTGTGCCGAAATACATGTGTTTATTTCTATACGTTTTTTTCATACATATATCGCTTATCGCCAGCAGGCGGTAAATTAATTTTGTTATTGCCCTTTTCGCTTGGCCAATGGACAACACGAAACATGTTGAAAAAAGCAAGAAGAAACAAAATGAGAATGATACGTTGATCACGCAGCGATAATGCTAACGCGAAATGTTGGATTGATAGAACGTCACAAATGGCGCAATTCCATTTTGTTATTGTTGTCCCCCCGTCAACTCTCCCTCTCTCTCTCTCTCTCTCTCTTTACACAACCAACTTTATCATAGCGACAGGCAGGCTGGCAAAGGCTCAATATCTGCGTGTGTGTGAAACGTGCCGAAATATGTAGTTTCAAGACTTGTCAAAGCGAGCGCGCTGTATATGCGTGCATATGTACATGTGCGTATGCGTGTGCCGTGCCTGCACTTCCTTGTGTAAGCAGAAAGGAGCTTTTAATGCGGCCGGCTGTTAAATGGTTTTCGTTTTGTTTTGTGCTCGCCGTTTTCTATACTTGTGTGTGTGTGTGTGTGGGTTTGCCGTTAGCGCGCGTCGAACCGTGTGCGCTGGCGTCGCTGCCGCTGGCGGCCGCCTGCTTAAAAGCAAAGGACAGCTCGCAACGTTCAGTACGTAACGAGAAGTTGCCTCGCGCGGTTTGGCAGCACACGCAAGCCATACGAATACAGAGCGAGCGGAGAAGAGAGCGCGCAACTTTTAATGTAACTGTTGTTCAAAACCAACCGCATAGCAGGCCAAACACAACTAGCTCGAGCTGTCCAATTGGCAACCCAGCGAAACCAATTGCAAAGCAAATGCAATAAAAAAATATATACATATATAAATAAAAAAAAAAGTAATAAAATGTAAATTAACTTGTTTGACAATGCAAAATGCAAATTGATTACATTTTTTAATCATTTTTTTTTCTGTAACACAATTTTTTTTTATCGTGTTGCCCGTCCAAGTGTGTGAGTGTGAATGATTGTTTTTTGTTTTTCTGTGCTTATGTGTTTAGTAATAAGATGAGCAACATCTCGAGATCGAACTGACACGCCTGCCACAGCCTCTGAGAGCCTAAGGCTTAGCTGCGCAGCTGCGGTCCACGCAGAACTAGTTTGCAAAAACAAAAAATAAATAAATAATATAGCGAAATTCTCACATCCAATCAAATCTCAATTAAACATTCGTAAATATCGTATATATGGTATATAAACGTGTTGGCCCTGATCGCCAATGGAACAGCTGTTTAGCAAAAATACATACATACACTAGTGTACATTTGTATATATCTGGAGTATATGGCATATTTAAAAGATTTTTGTTTTCAATAATCTCGTCTTATGATCTAATCCATCCAGTTTAGCTTTACTGTTTCTAAGCATCTAGATCAAGTTCCATTAACATATTAATGCTCATCAAAGTTTTTGTTTTAATATATTATACTATTACACATACGCCGCGTTGACCATAGCAAAAAAAAAAAAAACAATAGAATCTATTCAATCAGCATTTTAAAGTTGTCGAAAGCTTTCAAAATAGCTGCTAAAACACAACTCTTTATTATGATAATTATGAGATTACCATAAATTAATAATCCTAGGGCTATGAAAAGCTGCAACCTTATGCTGAGACAATCCCAAAGCTATCAGCTGTCCAAAGCCTAGGCCGTCCATCAATCAAACACATTTACGGCCATCTAACTGTCAATATGCCCATCCATCTTCCTAAATGTCTATCTATATATTATCTGTCTGTCTGGCTATCTAAATAGCACTCAGTTTATCTATACTTTGTCTCTCAGCTTAGCTATACCTAACACTCAATTGATCTTTATCGATATCTATATATATATCTGTTATAAGTATTCTAAATGGACAGATAAAAGATGTCTTAGCAGATAAATTGATTGCAAATAATTTGAATGACAGGTGAATAGATTAATATTTATCGATCATTCATAAAGTTGATATATAAAGTATCGATCTCTTTATCGATCACTGTAAATGTATCTGTATCTGTATCTGTATCTGTATCTGTATCTGTATCTGTATC